AGTTAGTTAGTTAGTTAGTTAGTTAGTTAGTTAGTTAGTTAGTTAGTTAGTTAGTTAGTTAGTTAGTTAGTATATTTGAGGTTGGATTTAAATAATTTTTGAATCTGGAAAGGTCAGATTATATTTTTATGTCCTGATGTGTAAAACCCTATTGAGGACACTAATGAGACTAAAATCATTAATTTTTGGATCGAAACTCACGTCGAACTCCCCATGTTCTTTACATATTTCTGAGACTATTTTTACACATCAGCATTATAATTTCAGAGCTGCACTTTCCTTTTTCTCCAAACACCAATGACATTCAATCATTTCCTTCTCCGAGGCCCTTTCTTCTTTATTACATTCTTACAGCTCTTGTGACCTACCGTCCAGCCGGCGGGGCAGGAACAGTCTCCTGTGATGTGSTGGCACGTTCCTCCATTCTGACAGGGGCAGCGCTGCTCACACTGAGGCCCGTGACTACCGGAGGGGCAGCTCTCTCCGCAGCTGCCGCCACACAAAGTCAGGAGTCAAAAGTCTGAACGCACATCAGCATTTCTTCACCCAAATTAAAAAAAAGGATAAAAATTTGTCRCATATACTCACAAAGCTCCCGTGTACCCAGAGGGACAGATGCACTCTCCTGTCTCGTGGTTACAGGTGGCTCCGTTGAGACACTGGCAGGGTAACTGACACGACTTGCCGTAGTAACCGTGCTCGCAGGGCTCCTCGCAGCGCCATCCCTGGTACCCGTCGGTGCAGACGCAAGCCCCGGTGATGGGGTTGCACTTGGCCTCGTTTCGGCACTGGCACCGGTTGCTGCAGTGAGGTCCCCAGAAGTCACTCTCACAGCCTGCAGGCACACAAGAAAGAACATCAAGCAAGTCAAAACAACTAACAAACCGATAAAAACATCCGAAAAGAAGGGACATCTGAGTGGTCTTTTTAGCAACAAGTAAAGTAATTAAATGAGTCATAAGTAATCCCTGAACATTTAATAGCTAATCATAAATAATAAATGACAGAAGAATAAATCCTCCCAACAAAATTTATTGTTATGCCAACATTTGCCCTCATTTTTAATGGGAAAGTGAAATTAGACATTTTTGTTTTAATGTGCCAATTCTGCTTTTGTTGATGAATGAAACCTGTTTGTTTTTACCAAACTGAACACGGAACRTAATTAAAAGTCAGACATAAACTAAAGTTAACTTGGGTCAGTCTGTTCTATAACAGTGACTTTAGAGAAAATGCCAACACATACATTGATCTAAATGTGTGATGGTGGAGAAAAACTTCAGAAAATACAGCAAAAGAAGTGTTAGGAGTGTGGATGGCTGCACGAGAAGCACATTTTAAAGTGCTTTGAAGAAACTAAACAAGATTAAAAGTCCCAGTAAAAGTGCATATCAACTTATCTTTTTCCAGCCAAAAGCAAATTACACCTCTGGGTCATTAAAACAACTATGAAATGAATGAACGATAATATTGTGACTGCACCCTCTTCTGTTGCTGTACATCTGTAAACCCAAAACATTATAATATTTGGTTCAAATCATCCAACATATTTCTCATAATTGTTTGTCTTCTGTACCAGTAAAACAACAGATTAATGATTTATTTTCACTAAGAATTGTCAAGAGGTTAAAACTATTAATTTACTGCAGGATCCAGTCTGAAATTCATCTTTCCATTATCCTCACCCTTTTTTTGAACTATACTACCTATACCACCAAAAGTCTTTAGGTCTGCTCAGAACAAAATAACCTAACAAAATATGATGTGAACAAAACTCCAGAAAGTACCCTCTACAGGYCATTTTCCAAAAATCAGCTGAAGGGGAAAAACAATTAGTATTAAAAAATAGACAAAAAATAAAAAATAAAGAACATGCACACAACACACGAGCCAAGGATGGACAAATTTCTAACATAAAATTGTTGCATATAAAATGTTTTGGCAAAGAAATTTTAAAAATGCACAGTTTAGACATGCTTTCAAATATTTGTGTTACTTCTGCGAGTATAAGTTGCATTGATACAGTAATTCTAACAAACTTTACCTCTAAGAAAAATGCTTGTTTCATGGTAAAACTGTAGATTTTTCCTTCACTTTAGTCAACTTAGAAAATACATTTTTTATTAAAACTGATAAAACTGTATGAACCAYTATTTCTGAGTCTGTGTAGTTTTGTGTTCATTTTTTTTCCTCTTGTCACACGATTCAGTGACCTTAAATTGTGTTTACCTGTTTTGTTCTGTAGTAACATTTTCTTTGTAGCTTTCAGTCAGCTCTTATGAGGATCTGTGTTTCTAGTTTATTTATTTATTTATTTTGCATTTCCCATTTTGGTCATCATGTTTTTTCTGTGATATTGCATTTGTTTTCTGAGTGTTTAGTTCTGTTACTTGTGTTTTTATTTGTTATCTTTTTCTTAGTTTTTTTTTTCTCATCTACTTCTCCCTCTGTCAGTATTTTTCAGTCAGCCCATCTACAYCTGTTGCCAGTCACTCCTGTTCATCACTCCCACTCCATATAGCTCCTCAGGTGTTATTGCTGCGGGGGTGGGGGTGGAGGGTGGGGTAGGGGGATTATGACCCCCACAATAATTTAATCAAGTCAAAATAACTCCCCCAATAAAATTACATCATTTTCTGAAACACAAAAGAAATTAACTGGTTAAGTAGACAGATGCAACTCCCGGTTAAGTAGACAGATGCAACTCCCTTGTTGTCTTTAAGTAACTTTAACCTGAATTAAAAATTTACAATGTCGTATATGTACATTTAAGCAAGTTACGCCCTTGAGCGTTGAGCATGGTGTCTACAGAATTTTTACGGTTGATGCAACGAAATGAGAAAAGCACGGTCACTATTCAATTTATGGAAATTTTTTTTATATTATTTATGAAAAAGTAAATATTATCCATACAAACCTATGTGCAATGGGGGCCATGGGGAGGTCATCATATTTTTTTGGAGGAGGGTCAATGACCCCACCTGGCACCCGTTTGGTGGAGCCCCCTGTGAGTCTTTTACAAGCCACATGTGGTTTCCTTGTCTCTTTTTGTGCCTTGCTTCAGATGAAAGTTTTGATCCTTTGTCAGCATTTTGTTTTCTTTTTATAATGAAGTAAAATGTTTGAGTTCCTYGTGTCGGCCTGCATTCCTGGGACCATCTTCATGTAATTTGTTTTTGAGGTGAGTTTTAGCCTGAGTTTTATTATGTTGATCATCGGTGCTGAGTTTATATGACTGTGTTCTGGATTTTTTGCTGTGCAGCACCTTTTTTTTTTCATAATAAAGCTTGTTTATTGGTTTAATGTTTCTGCTTTCTGCTGAGGAACTCTGGAGGAGCCTTTAGACTAAGAAACTTTGGAGCTGATGAGTAAACCTGAAGCCTAAAGGTGACAGTCAGTGACTTGAAATGAAAAATGAATGTAAAATAAAGTTGCTATTATAGAAATATACACTAAAGCTGAATATATAAGCTTCTCTTATAGCCATACGCTATCCTAAGAAGACTTAATAATAAAACAGCTTACTCTGTCATATAATTTGCCAAGGAGGTAAATTTATCATACAAATTAATTTTTAATTTTCAATTTTTAGGTGAATCAGGTGACTTATAACACTTACAAAGGCCGTATCAAACTCTTGTAAATGAAACCTTTCCAAACTGTGCTATAATCTCACTGAGTATTAGTGAAATACCTCCTGGATTATCAYGCTCTGTGACAACTAATCAAACACTGAAGGTTTCAACATCGAACACCGTCCTTCTATGTGGAAATTAGTTAAGTCATAATGAGATATGCAGAGATCACTGGCATTACAAAGCAATAGGTGAGGGAATGATGTACAAAAAACCCTCAGTACTCTGGGAATTGGTCTGTTTATGAAAACTCAATAAAATCTATAACTGCAAGCAAACTGCTAATTTTCATAGTGAAATGAGCATCCAGCTTCTATATGATGAACAATCAGCTCTGAGATTGGTAGAAGGCAGTCTCCACACCCAACGGGGTAATTGTTCTTTTGAGAAGCTTGGTGATTTAGGTGATTGTTGTGGTTTTTATGTCCCTTCATCAGCCCCAGCAGCTGTATTGCTCCACACACGAGCTCGGTTTGAGATCCCAGCCAACACAGCAGTCTGAGCGGCAAATATTCCATCATTGATTCTCACATCATTGCCTACTCTGTTGTAAATGTAAAGACAACCCCTCCCTCCTCCCCCCTTTGTATGCTCGCTTTGCCAAAGCTACGATCAGTCGGAGTAGGAGCTTAATGAAGCCTCTTTCATGGATGGCACTGAGGCCTGTTTGTTCCAGGTACGCAGCAGGAAGATGATCAGCCCTTCCCTGTTACAGACAGGTTTGCTCCGAAGGGGGTCTCTAAACACCGGGCTGGTGCGGTATTACTTCTGTGGCTGGACAGGCTAGAGGCCGCATTACAAGGCTCACACTGATTTTGATCTAATCTGTTCATGGCCTCCRGTTTGCCACGAATGAGTTCCCCCGAGGGCTGAGTGGCTGCCACGCAAACGACCCCGGCACATTACATCTGAGGTGTGTGCGGGCGGCCGCGGTAATGAATGAGCAGTTTAGCTGYAACTTGGTTTAGCACTCTATAAGCACTCATCAGTGCTCCCCTCAGCACAGCAGAAAAATAGGCAGCGTTCACTTAACTACAAGCATCATGGTTTCTACTCAGACCTGAACCGTGCATTTTATGTTCTTGCATGTATAAGTCAAAACATATTGGATTAAAGGGTTAGGATTCCTTGAAGAAATGCATATCATTTCATGCCAGAGTTGTAAAGTAAAAGCATGTTATTTTGAAAAATGACACAAGTTTAGCCTTTTTGGTTAAATCTTGAAAATAATATTATACACACTCAACCTTGTAGTATTAGGGGTATGTGATGAGGATGAATCTCAGCTGCCACATCAACTCATTTTAGATAAAGACATGTAAATTGACTGAGTTATAGCCATTTTTGTGTTTGCCAAGGGTCAGTTGTCTGTAGCAGCCATCTTGAATTGTGTAAAGGTTTCACAGAAATCTGTTCATTAATTTATGAAATATGTTGCTAACACCCAGACAAGGCTGAATCAGTTAAAACAAAACTTTTAAGCAAAAATCTTGCCCAAATGGTTTGAGCTGGGGATGAGTCTGAAATGTGAACATACCAAATTTTAGTTATAGCCATTTTTATGTTTTTTTTTAAAGTATGGGGCGCTAAGTATGAAATATATATATAATCCTTGTTGAAACATTTTCCACTGACATTTTATTGTTATATATTTTACTGTTCTCACATTTTGCAAATTTTACTAAATTTTAAATTTAAATGTTAAATCCTAAATCTAAATGCAAAAGTTACATGTAAATGTTGCGGGTAAGTATTTCAAAATGGAAAGCAGTCTTTGCCATTGGTTTTTGCTTTTGTTATAATGTCATCATCCTGCAACTAAACGCTAACGCTGCTAGCACGTCCCTACAATACAACAAACTTGTAGTTGCGGCCGGTATCTGAGCTGCACTTCAAACTGCTGGACCACAGGTACCATCCATAATGTTTTCAATAAACAAATTTTGAATCTAAATTTTAAATGCTATCAGCAGCATTAGAAGTGTTTGCGCTTGCTTTTTTCACAGGATGATGACGTCACGACAAATGCCAAGCACCAATTGCCAAGGCTGAATTCTACGGAGCCTGCGAGGGGACATGGGGGGATTTTTTTTTTCTTTTGCGTTACCTTGCAATACCTTTACGTTACCTCACAATACCTTTGCGTAACCTCACAATACTTTTTGTGTTACCTTGCAAACCTTTGCATTCCCTCACAATA